GGTATCGGGCTCATATATATATATCCCCAAGACTAAGTATCATTATAATAGGGAAAAGCCATGAAAAACATATGGGGTTTTAGACAAGTGAGGGCCCCGCCTTAGACTTCGAAACCACAGCAGCCCGACCATGCTCTCAACCTGCGGGGGCTGGAAGAGAAGGAAAGATAATCTTCCAAATTTTCAGGCTTCCCGCGTGCCCGAACTTCCTAATTAGGTAGGGATAATCCTTCGGTGTTGGAAAACGGTTTAAACAGAACTATTGGAAAGTATGGCATATTTTTCCCGGTCGTTGAAACCCAATTTCGAAGCTCAATTGCAAGCGTCGCCGACGTTTAAGATCTAGGGTTTACAGAACTTAGACCCTAAATCCAAGACCCTAAACCCTAAACCGTATAAATCCTAGAACCTAAACCCTAAATCCTAGAACCTAAACTTCCAACCCTACAAGTCCTGAACCCTAAACCCTATGGTTGAACCGCTTTGACTAGGGGCTCGGAATGTTTTTTGGCGTGGGTTCCACTTGAACACGGCTACATTTGTCTACAAACTAATACTTTGAGATACAAATACCTTGATAACTACTTTCAATAGATTGTATGAAGCCGGCCGAGTTGGGGTTCAAGGTTCAAGGTTCAGACTTTGGAGGATTCATTATTGGGGATGTTGAGTTCAGGAACCACGTTTTCCAAGATTTAAGGGTATAAGGAACGTGAAAAAGCTCTGGGGTTTAAGAAGCTTTATGGTTTAGGGCCTATAGGATTTCTGGGGTGTACGTGCATGAGGTTGGGGCTCATGGGGTTTATGCAAGTTATTCCAAATTTAGAAGCAATAAATTTGACATTCTACAGTTATTAGTCTAACTACGTCTCTTCTATTTTTATGCATATGCGCACGCCGTGGCTCAAGATATAAGCATCCATGCCGGGGCACATGTTCATTGTTTTTCTTACGTGGTTCCCCTGGTGCAGCTGAGGAAACATTCATGCTGGGGCGCACACGCACGGCCTTTCCAGGTTTTCTTTATCTCAAGACCCAGTGGCTCAAGATCAGCGTCCATGCCAGCAAAAGTTGTTTAGCCTATCAGCTGCTGCTACATCTTAACACCAGCTGGCTCAAGATAAGCATCCATGCCAATAAAGGTGCTTTAGCCTATCCGCCTCTTGTTTGACTTAAGATAATAACAAGCCTTTATTTAAAGGTCTGACAGCCCGTGCTGGAAGGCGACACTCGCGCGACTCGAGGCAAGTGCACGCTGTCCGTTGACAAGGGAGATGAGAGACCCCGCGAACGATTTTCGGCGTAGAGCTGGACATGCCCGCCCCTGAGCAAGAAAATGGAAGCAAATTCTCAGCTCCAGACGGCGAGCCGTACGATGACTCGTCGATCCCGGCAGTTTCTCCTGAGCCTTTGCACGCGCAAGCGCTGGCGCGCTCGCAAGGCGGCTGCTGCAAGTGCCTTTTTGCGCGGCGCAGCCAAAGAGCGTGAAGGAAATGTCTTTACGGTGCCAGTACCAGAATTTGCGCAGGCGTAGAGGGTGGCAGCGGAGCAGTCCGTCTCGTTATAAAGCTGCGTACGGACTAGCGTCGGCGCCGAGAAGCTGGTACCTTGACGTCTGTGAGGTTCTTCACCGGATTGGACTCCGGCAACTAAAGAGTGACCCGCGCGTGTGGGTCCTCGACGGCCAGATGGACGACTTTCGGCTGATGGGCAACGATAGCAGCCCCAGGTGGCAACGTGTCCTGGAAGTTCAATGCTGAGCTCTCCATTCAATAATTGCGGTGTCTTGGTCGAGCAGCTTCTGACTACAGCTTCAAACTTTTGCAGGCTGACTACTGCCTTCAATTGACGCAGGTCGACCTCAACGAGTCTTCTCGATCCATCCGGTACCGATGGCAAACGTGCGCGGGCCAGGGCGCTGCTTGGCGGCTTGGCGCTTTGCAACGGCGTGTCCAGCAAACGGCTCCGCAGCTTGCCGCGAAGCTCTCCTGGCTCCAGTCGGCGTTGCCGAAAGGAGGCAAGGACTAAGGATGTCCTGCGTGGCATCAATACTCTGTCGCTAAGTCTATGCTTAGACGTGTGGCCGTCTCGGTTCAGAGCCTGGAGCCTGAGTCCTTGAAGGCGCTTGTGTTCGTTGCCTGGACGGATGCGGCCGTTGGAAACCGCCCCGACATGTCCTTGACTGGGGGATATATTGTTGGGCTGGCGAATTCGCGCCCTCTACTGGCTGAAAGATGAGCGCTCCGGCAAACTGCTTAGGATCGCCAGAAGCAGTCTCTCAGCACAGATTCAAGCACTCTCTGAAGGGGAGCAGGAACTTATGGCGTGCCGTCCTCAGTGGGCAGAGCTTCTTGGTCACAGGCCTACTCTGAGGGCGCCCTGGGAGACAGTCTCACAAGTTGGAGGAGCTCTTGTGGTGGAGGCCAAGTCCCTGTGCGACGCGGCTCAGAAAGGAGACACCGCCTCGGCCCTGTTCAGCGTGAAGGAAAAGCACGCTGCCCTTGAGCTGATGGCGGTGACAGAGGCGATCGCGCTGTGCAACACCCATCTTGCTGTGGGTGAGTTCAGAAGCTCAGCTAGCTGATGGGATGACAAAGTCACAAGTCCAAGATTGTGTCCGAGGATCCTTGTTTGATCGGCAGATGTGGCCAGTCAAATATGATCCTGATTTTGTGGCTGCTAAGAAGAAGCGTAAACTGCAGGCTGAGTGTACAGTGCACAAGCAAGCCTCGTCTGAAGACTCTTTTTGGGGCATGTGAGTTTCTCAGCATTTGCAGTTGAGGTCAAGCTTCTCTGGCATGCTTGCGCACTTCCTGTCCGCTGCTCCTTTCGTGCCCCAAGGGGCCCCTTTGGCCTTAGTTTGGTTCCTAGGAACCTTAAAGCTACGGAGTTCTCTGCAAGGGCGGCGCTGGAGCACCCTCCACTTCAACGAACGTGATCGTAAAAAAGACCCATTGCGTTGCTTCTGCCAGTCTCGTACCCAGACCTGCTGCCAGGAGCACTGCTTCGCTTGCAGTTTCTTTAAAAAAGCTCGGTTCCAAAATCTTGTGACCCCGCGGTTTTGGACATAGAGCTGGGTGTAAAACCGGAGGGTCGCAAGATTTTGTCTAAGCTCAAATTCACCGTCCCCGCTACCATTGTCCACACACGAATGACATCCGTGTCGTGCAGCTCGGGGTATTGTACTTTCCCCATCTCAATAATAGTACTTGTTTTAATGATAATACTGGAGCTAGTGCTAGTAGTAGTAGTAGTAGTAGAAGTAGTAGTAGTAGGAGGAGTAGGAGTAGGAGTAGGAGTAGGAGTAGTACTAGTACTAGTACTAGTACTAGTACTAGTACTAGTAGTAGTAGTAGTAGTAGTAGTGGTAGTGGTACTCGTAATAGTAGTAATAGTAGTAATAGCAGTAATAGTAGTAATAGTAGTAATAGTAGTAATAGTAGTAATACTCGTAATAGTAGTAATAGTAGTAGTAATAGTAGTAGGTCCTGACAATTACGTGGCAAAGACATGGACCACTGGGGCTTTCTCGCATGGTCCCAAAGAAGATCACCTGCAAGCAATTTCCATGGGTTACGATTCTGGTTGTTTCGATTGTCAATGAGGTGGCGGACTCCCCACACTTTACATCGGTGACCATCAGCTCTGGTACCATGACCTGCCTACACACGGATATGCACAACATGAAGGGCACGCCTAACTTTGCTGTGCCGCTCACCCTGTGGTCTGGCGGGGAACTGTTTTTGCGGGATGCATCTGGAAGTGATCGTTTGCAGCCAGCCGGTATCAAGGGTCGTAAGCTCTCCATCTTGCCGCCGTATTTGGCGTTTGACGGATCTATTCCACATGCTACTTGTCCATGGAAGGGCAATCGTCTGCTGCTGATTGCTTATCATGTCCGGAGCCCTGAGAACATTCCACTTGGTCAACTGGACATTCTCCGAGGTTTTGGATTCAATATTCACATGACTGCTGAGTCTGAGTAGTGCTACACTGGCCAGCCGCAAAAGGCAACTGACGCTGCTAGCCGCTCTCAACTGCCTGCCTAGTGGACAACCTGTGGGTTGGTTGAATGTGCCAGGTACGAACTGCTTCAACTGAAGTCCCGACTTGATCACGTCTGTGAGTGCCGATGTGTGCAGAGTGCAAGGTGTACAGGTTTTTAGTTATATGGGTTTATTTTGGATTTCCACTTGTTAACGATGCAAACCCTGGTGCTGTTGCCTTCGGGTCGGCCAGGGACGCAGTGCTTAGCCACACGTGGCGGCTGCGCTTTTTGCTTCAACTTACTGGCTTCGTTAGTTTTGAGGCGAAGACCGTAGGTCTTTGCATTTTGCAGTACAGGTCATTCGTTGCCTGACCACTCGGGCCCTAAGGGCGATGCTAATGGCATCCGTCATATTGACGCCGCACGCATGGAGACTTGGACTCTAGCGCCTGGGAAGGAAGTAATAGTAGTAATAGTAGTAATAGTAGTAAAAGTAGTCGTAGTAGTCGTAGTAGCAGCAGTAGCAGTAGTAGCAGTAGTACTAGTAGTAGCAGTACTAGTAGTACGAGTAGTAGTAGTTGTAGTACTAGTAGTCGTCGTCGTAGTAGTCGTCGTAGTAGTAATAGTAGTAGTAGTAGTAGTAATAGTAGTGGTAGTAATAGTAGTAGTAGTAGTAGTTGTTGTTGTTGTTGTAGTAGTACTAGTCGTGGTAGTACGAGGAATAGGAGGATTCACTAGGCAGAACAAATTAAGCTTCCCATTCGACAGCGGCTCGTGGTCGCAGCATGTTGTAGGTTGACACAGGGGCACGTACTTGGGTCAGAGACACGAAGAAAAGCTGGGCAAAGAGGCTTTGCATCGGTCCTCTTGACCAGGTTCAGTTTTGCCACGCTGCCATCGGTGGCACTGGGACCGGGTCTTCCTGGCTGTTGGGTTATGAGGTTTGGGGAGTGGCGCTGCATCACAAGCACAATTATTACACTAGAGCCATTTACTAAGTTGTAAGCCGCGCTTGGATTCTGAATTAGCGTGGCAGACTGACTGGTCTCGTGCTGAAGACCCTTCGAGACTACCTGGACAAGCAAAGTCGGGCTGTTCTTGACCTCAGCCGAAACTGCAGTGCATGCAATCGCGAGCCGGTCGGCTGCGCTGCTGCAGGTCATGCAATCCTTTGTTTTGGTTGATATCTCGGCCTTGTCAGAGTTGCATGCTCTTCTGACCTGGGAGCTCAAGAAGTCAGGCTCCAGCACCCGGAATCTCAGATGTGGTCCTCGAGCCATACAATGCGTCTGACACCTACTTCCCAGATTCAGATTCCAGATTCTCTCTAGACCTTAGATGATGGTGTTTAGCCCTTCCTATGATTTGCCGGCGGGGAGATGGGGATGATCGGATGGCTGCTGGCACCAAACTACTACAGCCAGGTGTGCTTGTAAGATTTATGGGCACGTGCCGGAGAGAAGTTACGGACTGCTCGCGCCAAGATAAGCGAAGGACCCCAAGCGCAAGTTCCACTTAGGTTACTGAGATGTGAGTGCCTCCAAAAAGAATTGCACGCCAGCCAGCTTGGACGAAAGTCGCTAGAACAGAAAGTTGAAAACGTATCTCCACCGTCTCCCAGAACATGCCGGAGGGAAGGAAACAATAATTGGAAGCAGAACTTTCATGCGATGATCCGGGCTTCAGGGATGAGAGACTTGTGGGGATGATGTTTTGCTTCTGCACGCTCAGCAAGCTTGTCCTCTTGCAGGTGTTTATGCTTCCAGGACCTGTTAGAGTACACAGACCAGGCATCCGCGGCATCAGCGACCGGCCTAGCAACACGGAAGCAGTTCCCCTTCTGGGCAGGTTTTCCTCTTCGACAACAAAGCGCTGAGAGCCTTGGCTGCAAAAGTGGCGGATCTTCTCCGGAGAATACCCTTCCAACGTCTTGAGGCGAAATCTGCCAGAAAGCTTTGGAGCAGGACAGTCGGGCAGCATCTTGAGCAACTTGTGGCAATTTGAGCTGCCTGCTAACAATAGCTATGGCAGCAATGGAAGCTGCAGGATATGCCCAAGATGGCCGACCTGAATGATGTAATAGTAAGATGCATGCGGGTAGCTCAGCCGGGCAGCAAGACAGAATCTGCGTAAAAGGTCATACGTCCAAATAGTTGGGCAGACCTTTTGGCTGTTGCTTGTACGTAGCTGTAAGGTCGGGCATCACATCGTGTCTGAGATACACTGGTCCGTTGAATGCAGACCTGCGGAAATTACAGGCTGTAGCCTCAGTCAGCATCCTCAGGAATATCAATGAGGTGCCAGCTAGACATCGTTTGACAGCCCCGCCATGTCCAACCAGAGCGAGAATCCCCGCCTCCATCCGTCCTCCAAGAACTCTGCAAACTTTGCCTTCAGGCAGCCGAACTTGAAGGGTGTATGAAATGTTCGAACCACGAGCTTGAGCTTAGCTATCCTGCTAAAAGATGGAGCATGAGGTTCCGCTTGTTGCCATTCTACTGTCCTGGCTACCGGCTTTGCAGGCCAATGCCACAAACCCCACGGGTGCTCGCAGCCCCGCAGGCAAGAAACGAACGAGGAACGTTCCCCCAATGTTGCAGGCTTGCACGCAAACCAGCAAAGGCTCTGGCGCCACACGCATGCGTGGGTGCGCACTGCGCAAGCGGCGTGCAGGGCACATTGACCTTGAAAACCTGCGGTCGTCTTCATCAGCATCGAGATTTTCAATTTTGTGGTTATGCGGGCGATTGATGCTGGGGCTGCATTGATGAAATATGGAAAAAGCACGACTCTTACAAAACATATTCGCATCCGAACCGCAGACCAACGTGCACAAGACACCAATAAACAGTCACTCGCGCAAAGATCCGTGTAACGAAGCCCCAACGGCGACGCAAACAGTACTGGCAGGGAATCGGCAGCATCATTAGCATTCTCCAATCTCCATTTCTCAATCGTCAAGATCGCAGTTTGTCGCCAGCCAACGCAGACCGCAAACTCAGAGTCATTGGACTGGCAGCGACGCACAAAGAAGTGGCTTCAGCACAAGACAATTCGGGCTTAAAGCAGATCTGCGAGCGTGACATGCGTGACCATTCGGGCCTACTCAGTTCGGGCAGCGCTGTGGCCTTGCCAGGCATATGAACCAGCCCATGCCCGACTCCCCCCGTAGAGGTTTCAGGGTAGGCTTCTCTTCCGTCTCCTCTAACCATCCAACATGCCAGGAGGTTGGCACATTTTGTGCTACTAGTTTGGGTTCTGCGCACACATTGTCCAGACCAATCTGGTGCCCTTCAAGAACGCACACTTTCTCATCAATGGCCTGGCCCCGCTCAACTCCAAGGCGGCAGAAAAGTGCGCCTGACTAGAAAGCCTGCTCTATTGCAATGTCTCTCTTGTCATGACCTTTGGCCGTGACAAGGTACCGGAAAGCAAGCGTGCTGGACCTGACGCAGCAGATGCTCTCCAAGGACTTCAGCTCGATTCGCAGTCGATGATGGTTCCTGAGCTGTGCGAAAAGATGTGCTAGGACAACGTGACTGTAAAGTGCGATCCACTCAATCCTGGCGACGAATTTCATGTTCTTCTGACATGCCATTCGCTGCTGCTGCCTACAGCTGCCCGAATGTCAAGGGTTCATCTTGGCAGAGCAGCAGGCGCTGGAGAGCAAGGTCCTGTTTTCAATATTGCCATCTGGGAATCCATGGCCGAGCAAACTCATTTCACATGTCCGCAAGTGTTCGCCGGTGTTTCCAAGCATTCGCGCCGTCACCATCCTCAAATAGGTGTTGTCGCTTTTTCGCCGTCGCTGCTGCGTCGCCTGTCAAAGGTGCATTCAGGTTCAGCCATGGGGCATGGGGCCGGGCAGGGCGGGGAAGCGTTGCTGCTTCGTGGCGTGTGAAAAGTTCATGAGTGCCAACAGTCGCAGGGATGCGGCATCTTGGGGTAGCCATTTTGGTAATTTTGTCTGCTTTTGGAGACGTCCTTGTTGCCTTGTTGCACGTAAAAAGTGACAGGGATGAGACCCCTTAGGGGTCGCCATCCTGGTAATTGTCGCCACTTTTGGAGCCTTGTGTCTTCACCTCATGTAAAACATGCCTACAGTGGCAGGCAAGGGCGCCTTCAGTTTGCCATGTTCGTACCTGGTCATGTCTGCGTCGCATGCGACACTGTGGTCGGGATGGGACAGTGAGACTCGCCATCCTCGTGCTTGTCCTAATGCCGGGACTACGCTACTTGCGCCGTGGCGGAATGGAATGGAGTGGAAGGGACAGGTGTGAGGGAAAGTGCGGTGGAAAGAGGTGGAGAGTGAGGTGACAAAGCAGTGGAGGGTGGAGTATAGACTGGAGAGTGGAGTGAGTGCATTGCAGAGTGGAGTGGAAACTGGTCTCTGGAGTCAGGGTGGAATCCAGAGTAAAGTTAGAGTTAGACTGGACAGTGGAGTGAAACGTGAAGCAAAGACTGGGAGAATGCGGAAAGTGGGAAGGAGAGAGCTGGAGAGGCAAGTGGATTGCGAAGAGAAGTGCAAAGAGGAGTGGACACTGGAGTCGAGTTGGCGGGTTTCTGCAAAGGGTTTTCCACCCTTAACGAATTTAACGAGGCTTGTGCTTTTGGTTGGCATGTACCTTCCCTCCTCCTCTTCTGCCCTAATTACTCCAGTGCTAGGAGAGCCCGGCTACCTTTCGTTGGCCTCGGGTTGCCCCTCAAGTTTTACTTTGGTTTTGTGATTGTGTGCAAAACGCGGTATTGCATGAATGAAGCTCAGAAGTAAGGTTTTGCTGAGAAAACGCTCCAAAGAGCAACCAAGAGCAACAACAACAACAACAACAACAACAACTCATGCTCACTGCCAACCGCTACCCCAAATTGTTCAAAGGCTTCCTCATTCAGGTTCCTCCTCACTTGTTTGGCAGGGCCCATCACTTGCCGGCTGCCAGAGCGGGTCCAACATGAACCCCAACGCGCCTTAGCAAAAGCCATGCGCTCAAACTCATGAACTTGGCCCCAATCACGAAATCTGGACCCAATTGTCTTATTGGAATTAAGTAGCTCTCACGGACCGCTGTGTATTGGAATCAATGTTTGAAGTGCAACCGGCTGTTGCAGCAAGAGGGACATGGCTGTTGGTCCGAGACGGCTTGCGTCAAGCACTACAGGTCTGCCTTTCCAAGTAAACTGCGTCGTTCGGTTTGGTGTTGTTGCTGACTTTGTGTTGATGGCGAGTGGAATGCTAATACCTCTTCTTGCAGAGCCTGCTGCCTCAACAAGTCGCCTTGTGCTCGGTATGCCTCAATGTCTTATGCCAGGGTATGTTGAAAGCGCGCTTTCTGGCATCATGGACGTCATGGCCGAAGCCGCAGATTGTGGAAAGGTGTGCATGCTGCATGCCAGCAATGCACCGGCCAATACATGTAAGGAAGGGCAAATTTCCAACAAAGGAGGTGGACAAGGCAGACAACAACACCATTGCAATGACTGCATGACCTGCTGCGCGAGGTGCGTGTGTGTGCTGTGAGGCTCTGCATGACATACAGAAGGATGGTTCTCGGTTATGACCTCAGGTTTCGTGTCACACATTAGGCGTGGTTTTGTAAAGCCACTGGTCGCCGCACCGGTTGAAGCTAGTTTTCCACACGTGTTGAAGGTACGACAAGTTCTTCCCAGATTGGATTCCAAACTCGATCGTCCCGGCCTCGGCTGTGAGCAAGTTGAAAGCTTGTTGGAATCGGCTTTGACAACTGAAGGCAGAGCCAGCCGCCTGGCTTGAAACCCTGTTAGCATTCTAAGGGTGGCAACCCGTCATGCAATCCCCATCCACAACTAACCGCTTGTGGCGGACTGTAGTCAGAACAGGAACAGGGAAGCGTTGCGAGTCAAAGGGCAATCTTTTGAGGGATGGCCCCAGGATGCCCCAGGATGCCCCAGGCTGTGGGCATCCTGCAACTGAAAAGATGGCAAAAACTTAATCGAAGATTATAGCAAAGCCCCTGGCCAGTCATCAAGTTGTCGTACCACCCATGTGACAGAAAGGTCCAACATGAATTGGCATACTTCGGGAACGATTCGGACAGTCGGCACGGTCCTTGATCCCCTTCTCGCAGCCTTTGCTCTTCAGAGCTAGGACAATTTCGATTCGGAACTAGGGCCGCAGATTTCCGAGAATACCTGCCAGCACATCCAGCAACAATTTAGCCAAGAGTGGGTGCAGGAACCCAGCTAATGTCAGTCACATTTCCAAAAAGATCTCTAACTGGCCTAGAAGCCGACGCTCTCAGGAGCTTCCAGCCATTTCCAGCCTTGTGGAGGCGATCCTGTTCAAGAGTCTACATTGTAGAGTCATTATGATCACCTTATCAAAGTTGTTAGTGCTTCTAGTTGTGGCCGAGTTTCCTCATGTAAGGAACCGGCCTCAACGGAAAGGCCATGTCTGGCGTCAACGACGCAGGATAGGGCCGCTCGACCACGTGGACCCGTGATACAGTGCCCAATGAGAAGTGATGCATGATAAAACGGCCTCCAGGGAATTGAGCCTCGTCGCAGCAATCTGGCAGAATTCCGGTTTGAGATTGCTGTGTTGCCACAATGTGTCCCAGAGATGCGCCAGTGCCTTCCACAGGAGAGGAGAAGCAAGGGGGTGGTGTGTAGCATTTGGCATGTTTGGTGACCGGAACCTGTGCTGCCCGACACGGAGAGGGATAGAAGCACGAGATCTCCCACAATTGCGCCTTTATGCCGAATTGTGTCTGTTGCCGCGTGAATTTATGATTCGACGTTGGAGCTACTTACTCTTTTGTGGCAGCTGACAAAACTGGAGCTTTCGCCCTGGACCCCTTTGCCCAGTGGCAGCAGGCAAATCAGCAATTGCCTTAATTGCCACACTACCTTGAGTTGACACTACCCTTTTTGTCCACGACTTTTTGTCCACGACTTTTTGTCCACGACGCCCCTCACTGCAAGTGCAGCTGACAAAGGAAAGGTTTGACTGCTTTCGAGGCATCAAACATCTCCGGCGCAAAGCAGAAGTCCCAGGCCACACTTACCAAATTTTTCGACGTGCTGCAATGTAGTTTGTCTGGATATGTCTTATTGCGGGTCGGCAGGAACAACGGAACGTGGTCTTCACAACAAACAACACGGCTGTCCATGAGGTGCAGTTGTTCGTGCGACTTGCAAGCCGCCACTGGGTTAGCTGGTCGTTGTTCAGGTTTTCGACAGGTCCATCAAAGCATGGGACAACACGTACAAGTCGAGAGCTTTTGTGCACGTCTTTGAGCAGGCCGAAGGAGTTGCTGAGGTTGTGCTGATTCTCATGACTTTCTCCTTGCTCAGGATGGCATCTCCGTGCAGGCTGCGACGGACGTTATGCGCATTCTGCATCGTATTTTGCTTGATCAGACGTCAGGATCTGATGGAAAGCCGTAACATCGTGCAGTACATATCAGATGCGTGCCCGGTGAAGATATGTGGTTCCAAGCCAACTCAACATTGCGGGCTCCTCGCAAAATCCTGTGAAGACTGGAGGTACTGTGAGTTTGGCCGCTGGGAAGACAAGTTCTTCGAGGTTGCAGATCCGTTTGATACAACCTTCAAGACCAGGCCGAAGGGCCTGGACCTTTTTCATCTCTCTGCAGGACATTTCTGGTGGAGGGAAGCCTGTCGTCAAAGAGCGAGTGCGGATCTGATTGCTGCTGGAGCTATAGCCACCTTCGCCACTTGCAACTTCATAACCAGGCGATTGACAATGACGAGCAGCGCAACATCGCCCAAGAGCTGAAGGCACAGCTATGCACCATCTCTTAAGATGCCAGACACATGCATCATCATGCATCATCCTTCATCGCAACAACTTGCTTGCTGTGACAAGTTTTCTCTCTTGAAGCCTCTTGCTGGTAGCCTAGCTTTGGCCTGGCTCTGGCTCCAACCTTGAAACTAAAGCTGAGCTTGTATGCAACGACATCACTTGGATTGTTGACCCTGGCCCCTCTCCTGTGAAGGAATGAGAAAAATGTTACAGCTGTCGAGGCTATCTGGCAAGTGGACTTGAAAAGCAGAGGTTCAAGAAGCATCACCTCGCCACCTCAGATCTCAAAAATCTGCCCAACTGCAGCCACCCAAGTTCAGAACTATTCTTGCAAAAGACCACGGCAGCTGATTGCGAACGCAAGGATTCTCGAACTTCAAAAACGATCTATAGTTCTTTTCAATACGTTCTTAGCATGTCCTACCCAAAGCCGTGGGCCAGGAGCTTTGGCAGGGCGAGATGTACATTAAGGACAGGAGCTTTTGCATTCAGACACGTGTAGCGCGGCTGAAAGTGGTGTGCCTTCAGGTCGATCCCCTGGGAAGGGGTGCTGGGCAGACTGTGTGACCGCGCACCTCATTTGCAGGCTGCTTGCCAGTGCGCAGTGTGAAACATGAACAAGTTGCAGCACTATTGCACTTGTACAGCTTACCCTGTGCCGACGAGCTGCATCTCAAAGCAAAAGGAGAAGCGCATTGCAGAAGATTAGAACCGAATAGAACATGCGCTGCTGCAACGATTGACCGCTCTCCAGCTCATGTTCCAGTGTTGGAGGAGTGCGATTACTTCCAGCCACAAACAGGCAGAGTGCGGCCAAAACGGGCAAAATGAAGTCTGGTTTTCAGCGGCTTTGCTTCACATGATATAGAAATCTGCGGTCCCGTTGCCTGCCACCTCTAGAAGCAGTCCTGTATTTATTACAAACTGCGCACCGATTTTGAGTCACGCTTATCAGAATATTCTGCTGCAAGAATCGACACGGATGGCGTGCTGACGTTTTGCCCGGCGGGTCCGAGAGTCAATGCCTCCAGATACTGTAGGCAGCTTAGATACGTGGAGCTGTCGATTGTCAAGCAGTAGTCGGTGGCATTGCCGAGGATGATGGTCCAGAGGTTTGTGTCCCTCGTGGTGCGCGTCGTGCCTTTGCTGAACTTGATTGCCTCCGTTCTCGGTCAAGGGGACTGGACGCAGGTCCCTGGTACCTTGGGATTACCTTTCTCAAAATTGCTTTGGCCATCAAAGCATCACTAACGTCCGTAGTAGTTCTAAGTAGAAGTAGTAGCAGTAGTGGTAGTAGTAGTAGTAGCAGTAGTGGTAATAATAGTAATGGTAATAGTAATAGTAATAGTAAAAGTAGTAGTAGTAGTAGTAGTAGTAGTAGTAATAAGTAGTAGTAGTAGTAAGAAGAAGAAGAAGTAGCAGTAGTAGCAGTAGTAGTAGCTGCAGCAGCAGCAGCAATAGTCGCGATATGGTCCCATACAAGAATTCTCCCAATACAATGCCCCTTCCCATCAGAAGACACTTTCAACCTTTGAAGCGAACAACTCAAGTCATGGCCGGGTCATATCCTATGGCTGCTCTTAGTTACCAATGTAGATAACAGAAGTGTTTCGTAACATGCCTACCAGCCCCCAAAACCCTGCACTTCTAGTTCATCCCAATTTGCACTTCAGTACCTATGTCCCCAAGCATTCTCCATGATTGCTGCCTTTCGCCCTGTATCTACCCTGCATGTAGTCCGTTTTCTGCAATGTGCCCACCTAGCTCTAAACCCCTGTGCCCAAACAACCAAGCAGTACCTAAACCCCATACCACAAACCCTACACCTTGAAACCTAAACCCTAAGCCCTATTACCAGGCCAGCTGCCCCTTCAAACATTTGCAAGCTCACGGATCTGGCAAAAAGCCCCAAATCCCAAATGAGCTATAGTGTAAACTCCCTAAGAAGGGGGCTATCAAGGGTTTAGGGTTTAGGGATTATTGTCTAGGGGTTAGGGTTTTAGGGGTAGGGTTTAGGGTCTAAGTCCTTTAAGGATGGTCATATATGGCGTTATATAGGGGAGTATTGTGCGGCGTATTAAAGGGATACTAGGAGCATAGCTGAAATCAAAAGTTGTATGTTTCCAAGTCTAAGGCACCAAAGCTCCGAACCCCAAATCAAAAGTTTGATGTTTCCAACTTCATTCTGGCTTTCCGCCCTGGTCGAGTCTTCTCTGATATCACTGGTCGTACCGAGAAAGGTAGAAAAGTCATTTCAACCATCTCCCACCCTCAAATAAGGATTCTGTGGCAACTATGTGGCTCCTGTTAAATTACAAAAAATTCCTTGCAAGGCATCTGGTACTCCCTCCCGAAACCAAAATTTTGCATTAAAAGGTATGCAGCAATCTCTCCCCTGAACAAAAACCCTCACCCACATAAGAACTACTAGGAACTACTCGCAAAGAGTACCATCATGTCCTCAGGGGAAAAATTGCTAATGGGTTGTGATGGAATGAGTTTTGGCCTTCAGGAGTGATTTCGTGCTTGTCTTACAGGTGTCAGCCCAGCACCCACACAAGAGTCCAGGATCCCAAAGTTTAGGGCGGTTCAGGGTTTAGTTTTGGGTTCAGGGACTCCTTGAGTCCAGATTATGGCTTGCCGGAATTCAAAACGGCCCTAGAAAAGGGCTCTCATACATCATGCATTGCGCAATGATCCCTTTCAAAGTGTCAGGTTGTATGTTGCTCAACCAAATTCTGCACGACATCATGGCAGTACAGTATACCAGATGCCATGCAGGATCTGGTGGTTTCCATGAATAGGGGTCCCCGATACAGACCGTGGAAACTCAAAGGCATCTAAACTCAACAAGATTCCTCCGTACTCCAAAAAACAGCACAGTCCTTCGTCGTAGGGACGCTTGAGCAACTACATTTTTATGTAAGAGGATCCAGAAGGTAAGAGAACAAACCCTGCGGTTCAGGGTTTAGAAGTCAGCACCCGAACGCTCACAGTCCCCTTACAATAACGGCTGATGGTTTGCGGCCTGAGGAGTTGTAGTCTTAAGGTTTAGGGCTTTGGGGTAGTTAATATTTCGTGCCTGCTTCAAAGGCGACACGGTAGAATTCTAAGCTGAAGGCCCTTCCAGGGCTTCAGCTGAAGGGTTTGACGTTCGGGCCTATGTCAAAGGAGTGAGGGACCTTAGCGGGCACAGACTGGAAGTAGAAGGATTCCTGGCTTAGGGCTTTGTTCATGCTCAGGAAGGAAGGTTCTAAGTTTTCAAAATGGCCAAACCGCCTGACATTTTCGAAATCCTTCGGGAGAACGATAGCCCCCAAGCCATCCTACACCCCACTATATCCCCTCATGCTGAACACTCTGACCTGCTAGCAACCCTAAACCCTACACCCCTGAACCCTGAATCCTAAACCCTAAATCCTAAACCCTGAACCCTAAAGCCTAAAGCGGGTTTAGGACCAGAGGAAGGGTTCATTGCTGCAAGAGCAGAAGTGCCGAACTGAGTGAGGGCCAACTAGCAAGGAGAAGCGGCATCGGCTCTTAGGCGCTTGAGGGTTTAGCATTGATGGCTTTTAGGGTCTAGGGCTTTAGGGTTTAGGGGTGTAGGTTTTAGGGTTGTGGGGTTTAGGGGTTTAGGATTTAGGGTTCAGGGGTTTAGGGTTTAGGGCTTTAGGGTTTAGGGGTTTAGGGTGTAGGGGTTTAGGGTTTACAGGGTTTAGGGCTTAGGGTTAAGGGTGCAGGCGTAGAAGAAGTCTGGACCTGGAAATCTTGCACCCGGCCACATGCCTCATACCCTTCCTCCTTCCACCGCAGAAGTATGTAGAGCCCCATATACCAGCAGTGATAGCCTCTTACACCACAACGACCGGTCTATTGGATGCTATTGTGGGTATTCGGGTAGACTGGAGCTTGGTGATAGATATAATCGCCGGGTAAATATGGCTTAGCAGCTGGTGCTTACCAAGAGAACCGCTTGCCGCTGGATCCCTCATGCTTTGGCCGATGCGTTGCCAGTTTGGGACTTAAGTTTAGTTTCTCAGAATATGAGCTTGGAAAAAGGGGTGCATTGGGGACAGTTAATTTCGAAACCCCTAAACCTTAAACCCCAAGCTCTCAACCCAAAACCGCTAAACCGTGTGGTTTACAGTCTCCGATGGTACTGTATTTGTCTTGGGTTGTCTTGTCCAGCTTCTTGCAGTGGATCAGCTCAAGGAGAACACCTGTATAATAACTGTTGATACTAAAGGACCAGGAGTTTTAAGGGTTTGGGCCCTGAACTTAGGGTCAGGGTTTAGGGCCTAGGGTTTGGGTTTAGCGTCTTATGCCTTGAAGATTGTGGGAAGTTCAGTATCACAAGCCCATTTTGAACTTCGAGCATTGAAAGCCAACCCTACATCCTGAACCCTAATCCCAA